ACTTTCAGGTTGAACATGTACTTTCTGGTTTTCTTTTCTGCATCCAGACACTTTAATAATGTACTTTCCTTACACACAAGAAAGGTATTTCTAGCAATGAAAAAGTACCAGCAAATCTGATGTTGCAAATGGATAAACGTAGTTTTCAGACAGGAAATGAAATGTCCTTCCCATAACTAAGATCCAGACAGTTCCTCACTTCCTCACATACAGCATTTCTATGAATCTGAGCCTACAGAATTTTCCAATCAAAGCTAATTCAGCTGATAAAACTTTTGAAGAACTCACTGACAGCGAGAGAAATTTAATTAACAATACCTTTATAGTTACAGCAATATGACCTTAATACCCTAATCCTACACATTAGCATTTCTTTGGAGTGGAAGTCATAATCCTGAGGAACATCAAGGGCAAAAGAGCTAATTTCCCCTATGCTGTTTTCTCTCTCAGGCCCCAAGAAGTATTTCTTCAGGGCATACTGGGACCACTGCTCTCACATTTCTCTCACTGAATACCATTTAAAGGAACAACAGGATAAAGATGCCTTTGTAATACCCCCCTTGTAAAAAAACCACAATTTGGCACATTTGTGTCTAGGATAAAATTCATTTTTATGCAATGAATGTCTTAATTATGGTTGCAGGTCTTCATTGGTCAAATATTCAAGAAAGCATACATGGAATTATAGTAAGCACTCAAATCCATGCTTATAGCAGGCTATGCGTGAAAAGCAGTGTGCTCCCATATACCATTTATTTTTCTCATAATAGGATAGAGAAACTCTATATATACAGGTTTCCCTAAATTAAACCCTGATTTGAAATCATGTATAACAACCTAGATGTAACAAAGTTTAATAAGAGTGATTTAAGAAGCAATTTTGTAATATTTTACTGGTCTAGTTTTAATTTATTTCTTCCTCAGTACTAAACATAGCTGACGCTAGTTAATAAATGCGTATTTAAAATATATCCCGGCCCATAACTGCTTAGGTTACCTGTGCTGTGACTAAGAGTGTGTTTTGTAAAAAACAAAACAACTGAATTTGCAAAAAAATTCCCAGCTGTTAGCAAACACAGTTTAAAGCCAGCTGCACTTCAAAATAAAATATCCCTAGTGACTTCTTGATGTAAGCAACCCAGATGTAGCAGCAGCACATGCATTATCAGAATCAAATGGATTTAACAGCCTGTTTAAATTGCTTCATTTACTAATATTATACTCTTCCTGTAAGGAACAAAGAGAATAGGTTATTTTAGGGATTTTTCCCCTATGTTTCTGTGTTGCTTATATATGGGTTTTAGTAATCCATAAACCCCTTTATGTGTTGAAGCCTATTTTCCTTGCATTGACTTTCAAAGGACTGTAAAATTCAAGGATTAGGACAAGTTACACCAGAGGCAATGCAAAACCATTTTCCTAGATACTAGTAAGTCCTCATCAAGAGGGAAAAAAAAAAAAAGCTATATCAAAGGTTATCACAACTCTTTGATGCAGTTGTGGGTAGTATAATACATTCACATAATGCTGCTGTATCAAATGCTGTCAGCAGTAAATCACCAACTTGAGACACTGATTTCCATCACCAGCCTGACACCACGATTGCATGTACATCTTCACTAATATTATTTTATTGCCAGAGGCTATTTAAAAAAGAATGCAGGAGAGTGTAACATTGCATGTGGATCATTAGCTTTTAGTTACTATTCTAATTCTCTACACCAGCAAATGAAGTGTAAAAATAGCCTGCAGCCTCTGCCACCTGCTTTCCAGCCACTGTCCAGTGGTTAATATTTGGACTCTTTTTCATGCAGCTGGTCTTCTACTCTGTGGGAGCCTCAGTTTCTGGTCCTGGGGAACCACCATGAAATGTCATTTATCATGGCTATAGAAAAAGCCCTATGACTTTTTTTTTTCTCTAAATAGAGGAAACAGCTGTGCTTTCTACCTTAACATTATTTAAATATTTAGTGAAGTGGCTGCCTAGTTTTGTCATCATGTAGATCATCAATAATGACACAGGAGAGCACACACTATCTGCCATAAGAACATAATGCCAGTAATTGCATAAAAATGCTAATGCTACAAACACACTTTTGATAACAAATTACCAAATTATCTTGGAATCTGATGGTAGACAGGTTTCTCCATGTCTCCCTTCCTCCCACTCTGGGAAGGCACTAAATGGCTTTAATGTAATTATGGCTCAGCTCTGTGCAGGCACTGAGCAAGCACAGCCCCAAGGCTGCCCGTGCTCCAGCACTGTCACCTGTGCCAAGTGAGCACAGGTGACCTCAGCACGCAGCTACACCTCTCACAGTCACACTGACAGTGCTGTCTCACACTACCCAGCAAAGCACAGAAGAAATAATCTAAAGCTCTTCTGTCACACGCAGTACCCATTTGCTCTCATCTGATTTCTGATGTGGCAGAGGCTGAGCCCCTGCACAAATTGCTGCTTGTGAAAGAAACTGTATTACTAGGTCCCTTTTTCCTGAGCCCTTCACAGTTGCTCAGTTTGTACATGGAAGAAAAAAAATACAGTAAGGGCTACAAATTGAGTACAAGAGTAACATGACATTGTTTTTCATTTGAAACAGAACACACCACTTCTGACCCATAAGCACCACCATGGGTGGTTTTTAGGCCTTTATAAAATGCTCTGTGCAGGAGAATATCATTTATTGATATCACTGAAGATGTAACTATTATTTACTTCCCCAAATACTTAAGTCATTTTTGTCAGAAAACAAAATAATGACCTGGATTGCTGAAGCAGCCTTTTAAGTCCTTCCCTGATCTTCCCTGCTGCCCACGTAATTTGAATATAAACATATGATTATGAAGGATATGCTCAGTCTGCAGGTATAGTAACTTTTAAATGCTTTTAATTAGCTACATGACTTAATCTTTACTACAGGAACACAACGTGTTTTGATTGGACCTTCTAATAGCTCTTTTACTAAAACCATCATTGGGGGGAAATGTTAAAAGATCTATTTTTGACAAGCTATTGAACTTTGGAGAGAACCATTTTTATTTGTGGAAAAAAATTCATCAATAATAATTTTTTTTTTTAAATTAAAATTAATATCCTTTGTTCAGTTTCACAATGCAGTGTTTTTTAAATTGGGAAAAGTTAGAAAACTGAATTTCCAACGTTGCTTTTAACTAAAAAAAACTCTTTTTAAGGTGCTTTTTGAGCAGTTTGCCCTATTAAAGCATTAAAAATTGTCTTTAGCCATTTCCATATATTCTCTGTAATTTACAAGTTGACTCGTGTATGTGCAGACTTACACAAATATGATCAAGAACTGAACAAATGTAGAGGGAACTGTGAGAAGATGAGCAGAAAGGACTATTTATCTCTCCCAGATATTTCCATCCCCTGAGTCACTTGTTCTGCCTCACCCCAAGCAAGCTGAGCTTGCTGAGGGTGTCTGAGGTCTTACTTGGAAAAGAGGTGATTGTAAAACATCAGGAACAGGTGGGCTGCAGAGATTATATACAACCTGTGAAGACACCAAGTTGAACCTGATATTTAGGAAAACAGGACAGTTTTAGGAAGGGTGAGAACCTGAGATGCAGAAGGAAAATATTTTAGACCTGTGAAGTGGAGAATGGTCTGAGGAAAATCAGATAATTCATAAAGATGCTGCCTTTGCCTCTCTGGCACACGTGTAACATCACAGTGTTCACATCTGGAGTTTTCTCACTGTCCTTTTCTTACCTCTTGGTTCACCCTCCCTTAGAGCTCAAGGAACTGCAGCAGCCAGGGCCCAGCTGGACCAACCACTCACTTCAGTATTCGATATTCTAGTATTTATACTCTGTAACCCCTTCACATGAAACAATCTTGTGATTTCTAAATCACACCCCCAGGAGCCAAGATTTTCAGGAAAACGTATTTTCATCCCATAGTCTCTGATTGCAGTCAATGCAATCTCATGTTTAGTTCCCTTCCCTAGCAAAAAAAATATTTCCTGCAAGGTCTTCAGTTTCAATAATACGCTGCAAGATTACCTTAAAAATATTATTAACACACCATATGAAAACAGAAGGTGCTTTTAACCTCATCTTACAGTTACCTCTATATTTTAATATAATCATAATTCTAACTTTGGTTTTCCTGTATTAAAGAAAGATATTTCACTGAACTGCAAAAAAATTACTGTATTTTTCTGAAAATTCCTCAGTATAATTTTTCCTCAAATGAATGAGTTGTACAGGTTTGAAAAGTCAAACATGCATTAAAAAAAACCAAAACCAAACCATTCAACCAACCAACAAACCAAAAAAAAAACCTCAAAGCAAACAACCAACCAAACCAAACAAAACCCAAACATATTCCAGAGCATCTTCCTTTCTTTGTAATGAAGAGGATTTTTTTCTGTATTTCAGAATTTGTACAGATTACAGAGATCTTGTCACCTCAAAACCTACAGAATAAATGAATAACCTCCAGCTTGGTTTTTAACAGTCAAAAAACCAAATATGTTCCTTGTTCAACACTAAATGATGTCATCAAAAATGAGCAAGGTGATATATATTGTACAAATCAAACTACTCTTCTAAACCTGCAAGTCTAAATAACATCTGTAGGTTTGAAAGAAAACTATTCAATGGTATTTACTACTACCAAATACAATAGATTAAGAAATGAGGTTTTATGCTCACAAACAGAGAATTCCGTTTTTCTCCTTGTATGTGGTGAAAGTCTATCCTAAGCAAAAGAAATGTCATATCATATGAAAGTACCACCCTAGGACTACAAAAGTCAGACTACAGTCTCTTGCAAAGCACCAATGGGTGCTGTGTCAACAGCTGGTAGCAGCTGCCAGCCAGTGGAGTGGCAGGAGGGGATTCCCTTCGGGAGATACTGCATGAACCACACATATCACTACACATATGTACCAATGATCTCACTACATATTTGGTTTATTATCTAAAAAAACCCAAGAGCTAAAGCATCTACACAGAGTCTTTTCATCAACACTTACCACATGTCAAGGCAGGTGGAATATTCTGTTGATCCCAGAAGGACATCTGGAGGTCTGTACCATAGGGTTACCACTTCATTGGAATATGTATGACTAGGAACTGATTTAGCTCTTGCAAGACCTGTAATTTAATAAAATAAATTAATGTAAATAAAGCAAAGAAATAGTTTGCTGTACAATTACAATCTAAAAGGATATATGAGCATAATGTGTATCACATATTGTGACAGGCATATTGCAAGAGTATTCTTCTTCTAGAAATGGAGTATTTTATTTAATGGCAGCATCTATCATTAAGTACCTGGCTAAACAAGCTATGAATATTATGAAGAGATAATAAAATATGCTTTTCATAATGACAACCACAGGCCCAGGAGAGATGCAAAGATATACTGTAGTATACCTGAATAAAAGACTTTAATTGCCATTAAGAGCTCCTCCTGAGGCATGAATAGTCTTCCATTTCAGTGTTATTTAGAAAAAGAAAATGAAAAGGAAACTCCCAGATAAATGATGCCACAGATGAGATTTGGCTTCTTAGGGAAGCCTAGGAAACCTTCAACAGCTTACACTGCAAAGCTCAGCCTGCTTATTCAAGTTTAAGTTTGAAAGCTGTAGACACACACATTACCATTCAAATGAATATTAATATTGCAGCAGTACAGCAGAAAATGGTATGTGAAAAATTCCTCTCTCTCAAGAATTGTGTATTGGCAGTGCTCCAATTTCAGAAATCATTTCAATAAAATCCTTGGCCTACTAAAGATATAATATTTACAATAATTGTCTTTTAAGCTTGTCAGTCTTTTAAAAGAATTCATATTACTACACAATCTATGTAAAAGTGAGATCATCATATGCTAAACTGAGAAGTTTACCAGTATGTTTCTCTTACAGAGGACTCTCTCATCCAGAAAATGGAAAAAGATCTTCAGTACTAAGGTGACTCTTCCTAGCATGGGCCTGCAAAATGTTTTTTTCAAATTATCCGATCCTAGCTACTGCATTGAGAACATCCACTTCCTTGCTGGGCACAGTGGACATGCACAAGCAATGGAAATCAGGAGAATGCAGTACTGGGTGCTTTGTTGTGTGTTCCTGAACTACTGGTTTTCCTTTCAGAAAACAAATGGAATTACTATAACAGAAGGATCTTACAGAAACAAAGAATCAAAGTTATATAGTCAGAAAGAAATAAGCAACATGAGAATTCCTGAAAGAGTGCAGAAGAGTCCTTTGCCCCTTTCTTCGTAATACACTAGAAAAGCTATCTATGAACATTTACTGTCAGTGGATATATCTCCATAGCAATGATAGTCAATCTTGCCAGCAGACTGCATTATCAGCTGGTTATAGCAATTAGACCAGTGTAGGGGAATAATTTTAATTGTATGCCATGATCTCTTCAATTTGAATTGTATGCCATGATGTCTTCTTTTAAGAATTGCATTTGAAACATGAATACCTACTTTTTAAATTTGCAGACCTCCGTTTCTTTCAGGTTTGTGCACCTGTCCATGAGCTTGATGAGCAATTTGGCTTACAAAGACAACCCAGGGCTGGCCAGGTACTGTCCCAAAGAGGCCAGAGGAGAGGCCACATCATGTGTTCCATAGTGTCTCTGCCTCCAGATTAAGGTTTTTGCTTCTAGGAAAGCAGAAACCACCAACAGCTCAAACTGGTAAGTAGTTCTTATTCCCAGCACACAGAACCATTAACAAGCCTGAGTTTCTGTGAATCTATATTCCATGGACCTGCAACTATTAAGCAATGTAAAACTCATGAAAGGATTTGAGATGTCTGGATGGTGAATTGTTTCCATCCTTTTTGCCTGTCTGACCCCTCTCTGTTAGTCTTGTCTGAGGAAGACTGAATTTGTTTGCAAACTCTAAACTTCTACCAAGCTTTCACAGAAGAGGCATAACCAAGCAGGGGAAAGGCTTCTTAAAGAAGCCACATGATGTATTTTGAGGAAAACTGTCAAAAAACTTTAGAGCTTGTGGGATGACAAGACAAACTCAAATTTTCACGATGCACTGATCCACACATTCCAGAAATCTCCCATGCAGAGAGAAATGCCAACTCACCATATCAGAAATCATGCTGGAAATAGTAACACCATAACCATGCTTGCCAGCTGGCTTCTGCCACTTTACTGACAAGGATGGAGCTTTGCAGGTGTTGTAAGCCCAAGCACACCTTTCCTCCTCTTCTGTGACTGCTCACTGTAAAACCAGTCCTCTCCTCCTGCTGGGAATGCCACCCATGCTTTTTCCTCAATACACTGCTTCTAGATCTTCTCCACCTCTAATCTGTTCCAGGTTAATGAAAATCCATCTTATTTTCAAAGAATGATCCTTCTGGGCTAGTCCCAGCCTGTTGGACAACTAAATGTTTTTCTTTAATCCATTCTTACTCCCAAAACACTATAAAAGTTTCATTAGAGGTTGGCTGCTGCACCTGGTTTCTCAGTTAGAAGAAGATCATTAATGGAATTGAGAAACATTTAAACAAAATCTTAATTTGTAAAAGCAAGCTGAGGCCATACATTGGTATCAGACAGCACCACCAGGTTAAGAGGTGTTCTACTTTGAGTTAAACCATAGCAAAAGGCTTACGAGTACAGGCCATATGTTTTAAGTTGTGGCCAATTTGTTTCCTAGTTGGCCACATACACTGCTTTGGAAAGTAAATGGAAAAATCGAAAGCAGGAGTGAACAATCAAGAAATACTTACAAAAGCTAAAATTTGGAAGGGGAAAATTTGTCACAGTCCCACTGTTCAGTCAGTCATTCACTCTCCTTGTGCAGGACTGACAGAACCTGAATCAGGCTAATGCCTCAGAGGAGTTGCTTTCTCACAGGGACGGAGCAACCTTTGCTTTTTTCTGAAAAATTCTCTGCTCTGCATAAAGAATGCATTTAGCAATAATGAACACTTTCAGTCAAAATTAACTCAAATGTGTCTCATTGCACATGAGATATGAAAAAAAATACTGTCATCTTTCAGATATATTTACAATCCAAAAAGAATGCTATAAAAATATATTTGTGAAACACCAAGATACTACATTTCTTGTTTTGATGGTCCAGATGCAAATAGATGACAGTTACCAGGGTTTTTTCAGATATCCTTCTGCAAGAAAACGTTCTATATATTTCATACCCCTTTGCACATCCAAACATGCTTACTCATGCAAAATTTATTTAAGCACATCCTTCAACAGAAAGAAAAGTGAAGGGTAGGATTAATTAGCACAGCATGTTCGATCACTTTCTTTAAGAGTTCCTTGTCTGTTTCCATGGTTACACTACAGGAAGAATGACAATCTCATTTTAAAAAAGCAGAGCTTATAAGGAGATCATCAAAACTTCAAACCTTAAATGGCCCGTGTGCATAAAAGCCACAAGGTAAGTGGTGGGTCACCAGTGAGTACATAATATTTACATATTGCTGCCTGAGCACTCTTTCAGCCTGGGCAGGTGGAGGAAGATCCTCCTGACAAGTCGTGACTTCCCCTCTGATTCCTGTGTCTTACAAAAGACAAAAGGTAACACGTCCTGCTGTTGCAGCCCTATTTTGAGAGAAGGAATCCAAGGATAAGGCCCAGTTATTAAAATTAAGGGTGTGTCAGACCCACTGGGGAAATTGTGTGTAATTATGGGAAGGACAGACACTGTTTAATGCTCTCCAGGCACTGACTTCTATGACCATTATTTAACCAAAATGAAAGAAGAAATTGTTCTGATGCATTACATACTGCAAGGCTTGCACAACATCATCTAGCTGCTCTGTGGCAAAACCACAACTTGATTTTAACTCATTAAACAACAGCTCAGGGTACCCTGGGAAGCCCAGAGTTAAAAATAGAGTGAATGACATACGTCTATGTATGTTTATATCTTTAACACAGAAAATCCCCTGCTGCCTCCTACTCTGAACTTTAAAAAAAACCTTTTTTTTTAAGAAGAAATTTTCTTGCTTGGTAAACACAATTGTCTCTGCTTCATCTGCTGTATCTTAGACTCAGAGGATATATCTGATTTTACCTAGGATCAGTTATTGACAAAACATATTACACTGATTTATCACTGTAATTTAAAAATTATATTTAGCTTTTACAAGAGGCTGTAGCTACATCCAGACTCAAGACCTTTGGTTACATGAGCACAAATATTAATATTTGATACCTCACTAGCTGCAGGATAGCTTCTGAGTCAACTTCATATGACAATCGGGAAGCCTTTGTTCACTGCAAATATGATTTTGCAAATGAGAAAACCAGTCACGTCTGCAAAAACAAAGGCTTACCAACGATGTGCATGGTTTCCCTTTCTATTATACCTTAAATGTGTTGAACAGTTTATCATTTTGATTTAGATATATTTAAAAAGGCTCTAGCATGCATGCTAAAAATAAGGTGTTTTTCTTGTTGCTTTTCCTTGATTCAGATTCTTTATGCGCTTCCTTTTTTAGCTTCCTGTTTTGTTTATTTAATAATTACTTAGTTTGAGGTAAATGGCTTATTGAACCATATCTATGAGCCAATAATAGTATTAAAATGTTGCTAATGTATTCTGTTGTAGATCATGAACTGTCATCTTAACCTATTTACTCAGCTACTTGTTTTCTACATTTATTCAGTGAATACTTGAGTGACAACAAAAACTGAAAAAGTAAAGTGGGTGGAGACAGTGACACTGCTTCAATGAAGCGGTCAGCACTCCAACCCAGAAGCCAATTCTTGGCAATCAAAAGCAGCCTTTCGGTCCCTCTGCTGTTTATCTGAATGCATCTGTCTCCAACATGAAGCTTTATCAGAGCATCTGAGTTAAATTCCTCTCAAATAAGATAAATTACCTACAATATCTTGTGTCCTGGTCCTAATATAGCCATTAACTTATGATAGTGCTGGTCGTTTATAAAAGTTACTCATGATCAGAGAGAGACTAATTAGGATCTCAAATTAGTATTCCCAAAATGCACTTGAGCAATGACTAGTCTTCCAAACTGGAGTGCAGGAGTCAGTTTTCAAGAGACAGAGAGAAGTAAGTAAGACAAAAGGCATGTGTGCCTCTCAGCCTGTCTGGTTTTTCCAGCTGTTATCAGCTGTTGTAATAA